CCGTGAGGGGTGATCGCTCCCGCCAGGCGGGGCGAGGGGCGGGCGGGAGGTGAGGACGCTCCGAGGTGCGGGGGCAGCACCTGTCCGGTGCCTCGGAGGCCAGTGCGTTCGCTTCTCTTCCAGGGGCAGCCGGGCCTGTCGGCGAGAGGGAGCCCACCGTCTGCAATGGCCAGTGTGAGTAACGCGGGCCCCCGCCTCCCGGGCCTTCTCCGCCGGCTTGCGGTACGGGGGTGGCTGTAAACCCGCCCCTGCGCCTCGTCCCGGTGAGAAGGCAAACCGGCGCCGTCGAAGGAGAGCGCTTCTGCGCGCTATGCGGGACGCTTGCATTTTATTTCCCCTTTAAAGCTGTCTTTAAATCATCGTGCTTATGGGGGAGTCATTGATAAAAATCTGAGTTATACCAAGGTACGTTTTTATTAGAAGGCAGTGGTATCGTCATCCCTCCATCTAAGTTTTGGAAGGCAGTTTATGTGGATATCGTGGGAATAATCGAATTGAGGATTAAATAGGATCTGTTTTGGTTTGGTTTTTTTAATGTCATGAGTTCAGGTGAAAGGCTCAGGTTCACCAGGGTGCTTTCACACTGAAGAATAAAATACCCTTTACTGATTCAGTCTTGCCACGGAGACATGAATAATTTATTGATTTCAGCAGTATTTTTTCACTTGTGTAATGCTAGGTATGTAAATATTTGTATAAGTGAACTCAGTCAACATAACTGTAATTAATGCTAACATCTCCATGTTAACTGATCCTGATTATAAGAAAAAATGCTCTTTTCTTGTAATTACCTGTCAGCTGTAATTGTTTGCATCTGTTTTATCTGTAATATAATCATTATGCAAAAATTAATTTCAATAGTGCTTTTACATAACAGAGGAAAAAACATTTCAGTGGAATAAGCAGACTTTGTTGTTGTTACAGGAACCTTTTAAACCTAGCGGTGTTTTAGAACTAAACACCTTAAGGCCTTAACCGTGAATACTTGATTTAAGTCAGAAAATCAAATGTGCCTTTATGCATTTGAGTCTTCATGATGCTGGTAGAACTGAATAGACATTGTGTGTTTATGCAGAGGTGGTATGTAAGAAACTGATGCTTACTGACTTAGGTCCCGATACTTTGAATAGAGTTTTTATCTTAAACATACAAATAGTACCATTTTCTCTTTTTTTTTTTTTTTTGAAGTAACCTTGTTGCGTACATATTTAGTGTACACATGCATAAACTTTTATAGAATCAAGAATACAGCACTTAAGGAAAATCCCTTTATGTCAGTTTCTCAAAAGACCCTCACCTAGAAAATAAAGTTTTATGAAAGCACACATGCTATGGCAGGTGGGATTTATGTTTTCCAGTAATGCATGCTTTTGCACAGCTGTAGTCAAGAGTATTAGGAGGTTTGTGCTAGAGTTAAGTAGTCTTTAATTTTTCTAAAATTACACTTCTAACTCTACGTCTTGAGTGTATGATTGGTTATTTTTCTGTTATGTGTGTGTAATGCATCATGAAAGTTGCCAATTTATTTTTGAAGTGTAAAAAATAGATCAGACTTTTCAGTTTAATCACATCACCTGGATACTTCTTCTTTAAAAAAACCAAAACAAGACACAAAAACAACAAAAAATAGTAACAGTTGCTCATATTGCTACTTAGAATACTGTCATTGGGCCTCAGGGTTAATTCTCATGGTGAGGAGCTACTAGCTCTTTGGAGCTCTGTTGAGGCCATTTGCATGCTCAGGGAGATAGCATTGCATCATTTTTTGTTTGCTGTGTGGCTGAATCAGCTTCTGATAGAATCATCTTCAGCAATTGAAAGTTATATTGACAGTACAACTCTTGTGGTGGGAAGCAGGTTTTTTGGCATATTCCAAGACCACGGAATTCATAAAGGCTTCATGGTTTATTGGCATTTTGCCCATGATACTGATCTGTTTGCAGTAACACGTGTTTGTAAATATGTGAATGCAAGGAGTTTGCAAATCTGAATAACACTGGCTGCACTAACTTAAGTTTTGCATGTGTTAAATGTTTATGGATTTTGAAAGCAAAAGAAAGAAGCTGAAATTACCATACCTACCTGCTTTGATACGCATATCTCCCTCTGTAGTTCAGAGCTGTTGGTATGTGTACTTTGCTGGCAAAGAAATGTGTGTAAGCATACATGTAAGCGTGCTTCTAGATGAAAGCTGTAAGATGTAGCTGGAGGGATACTATCTTGTGTTTCCCTCCAGTCTTTTAAGAAGTAGGAATATAGGCTGGCTAACATTTGTGCTACCCTTCAGGGCAAACGTCTTGGATATCAGCGTTTACTTAATTAACAATATTTCTAGGTATTTCTGATAATCAACCCTGTGATTGATTTGTGGCAATCATGGAAACAATGACATGCATGGAAATAATCATGGAAACAATCCTCATCCATAATTTAGTTTAGGTTGTGGGGTTTCAGTGGTGCTATTTAAACTTTTCAGGGTTTTTTCCTCACCTGAGAAGGCCTTTCAAGAAGTGTTTTCGAGGCTTTTTCTTTACTTAGAATACTATTACTAGTAATATATAAAAGTAATAATAAAATCCTTTTAAAACTTGATTTTACAGAAAAGACAGTTGATCATAATTAAGATTGTAATTTAATTATTGAGTGAGGATTTCTCTTGTGATCCACAAAGCTGTACTTAAACTAGTATTTTTGCTAGCAGTATGTAATACTTACTTTGTTTTTGTCTTCTCAGGTGCTCTGTAACAGAGCAAGATTGGTCACCTACCTACCAGGGTTTTATTCCTTAGTCAAAAGAGTTGTAAATCCCAAGGCTTTTTCTACAGCAGGTTCCTCTGGCTCAGATGAGCCTCATGTTGCTGCCACACCTCCTGATTTATGTAAGAAAAAACAAATTCATTTTCTTTGAATTTGTGTGCTATCAGAACTTTGCACCCCATATAAATTTGGGGATTCTGAAGTGTGTTTTTTATGTCAGGGCCCTTACTTTTACTTGTGCATTGTGGTTACTGTGGTTCTATATGATTGTGATGAAATACAGATATTTGTATGGAAAGGGGGTTTTTTCTTCTGTTCCCCC